GTGAACGTCCAACCACGAACGCTGTGAAATTACGCTATGTTAAGATTGCCTCAGCATCGCACTAACTATAGCATGAACGGCCTTCAACGTGTGTTCAATCGAGTTTCTTCAGTGTTAGATTTTAACCTGACACGAGAGATTCTACACCGGCTCTTTTCCCGTATTTTCTATGACGCAGTAAACCGTTGAATGACCATGTATTTTATTGTATTGTAAGCTGGACTATGTATTTTAATGTTATTTACTTAAACATTATTGGGGCAACACTCAGCCTGTTGATGTAAACTAATAAATAAATAAATAGCATGCTTCGTAATTGCTCTATAAACGATGCATGGCTTCATCACTCGTTAACACTGGTTTAGCATAACAACAAGACCAAATCTGCAGCTTAGTGGTTACCGTTTCCACTTATGGAGTAGAAGGTTGCGATTTCAATCCCAGGCGCAACACTTTTTTTTTTTTTATTTGTGTCACTACGCCTAATCGCAATCACCAATCATCGTCTTACGAACTACAATAAATCCATCGATGTGTAGTTGAAAAACCTGAATTTATCCACCTATGGTGTGATCAGACCCTTCTTACTTATTCAAGTTTATTTATTTTATTGTCATTATCAGTGTCCAAGCCCCCCACCTCCGTGTCATCCAGTGACGCTACGCCACTGCCTGTGGGTACCCGGAGTATATCCGGGTGTAGTCTATTTGGTGAGGCTACCAATCACCTTATCATCGTATTTTAATGTGATTTAATGGGTTTTGATTCAATTCATATTCAAGCAACTTCCCCGGGGTACCCGGAACATGTCCAAGTGTGTCCAATGTGGTCTGGAACACTTAACACGACTTGCATTGATCTTATTTTTGAATTCTGTAGTAATTTGATGTGTCGCATGATGGTTTTGATACGTTTTCCGTTAAATCCAGCGTGAAGGCCCATATTCACCGGATCTTATTCCGGCCATATCTCCGGAACCAGTTCACCGATCCAAAACCGTTCAATAGCGTTCAATGGGACCCCAAGACCTATCATTTGGCGCCGAGTTTGTCCAAATCGGTTGAGCGGTTGCTGAGAAACGTGAGCGCATTCATTTCGTTACATACACACACACACATACACACATACACACATACACACGTACACACACACACACAGACATGTTCCGATCTCGTCGAGCTGAGTCGAATGGTATATGATGGTTTTGATACGTTTTCCGTTAAATCCAGCGTGAAGGCCCATATTCACCGGATCTTATTCCGGCCATATCTCCGGAACCGGTTCACCAATTCCAAAACCGTTCAATAGCGTTCAATGGGACCCCAAGACCTATCATTTGGCGCCGAGTTTGTCCAAATCGGTTGAGCGGTTGCTGAGAAACGTGAGCGCATTCATTTCGTTACATACACACACACATACACACATACACACTTAGAAATTTTTACAGAAATCTGTAAAATTTTACTGAAATCTCAACAGCTGAACGTTCGGTAAACAGTTTCGCAGATTTCCTGTAATTTTTCACAAATATCTGTGAATTTTTCACAGATATCTGTAAATAATTACAGGAAAAATGTAAAAAAAATTACCGAACGTTCAGCTGTTGAGATTTCGGTAAAATTTTACAGAAATCTGTAAAATAATCTTAGTGTGTACACACGTACACACACACAGATATGTTCCGATCTCGTCAAGCTGAGTCGAATGGTATATGGCCTCGGATCGATAGTCGGTTTTTCAAGTGATATCTATACACTATACCCTTCTTTGTAAGAAGGGTAAAAATAACCTGACTATCTTTTCCTTGGCAATTGTAACAAATGTAATGAACATAATCTTAAAAACAAACTTGCTTTTCGGATTAATTTGTCCGTAGTTGAATAATCGGTTAATCAATGAAAAATAGTACCTAATTAAACGTTACCTTCTCATGATAATCAAACGATAATCAAAATATGATCGCATAAGCTCTGTTACAATGTCGTGAAGTCGAATAAAAGCATCTCTATATACCTTATACCACACCCGTAGTTCGATGTTGTTGTGATTTAATATATTCTCCATATGTGTCTGAGCAAACCCTGCACAGTAGTCATTATTGAAAATAGTACAAGTATTATTCAGAATGCAGTTGAATAAAATCATCAAGAAGTTGTTTCTTCGTTAGGCATTTTGAAATGTATATCTAGAGTTGGTCTCAGCTCCTTGCATCAAGCACTATCTCAGGAATTTATTACCTGTTTTGAAAACCAAAACCAATAAAAAACTTGGCAGAGGAATTACACCGCTAGTAGCGTATTCGATTAGGGGTAGTTCAGAATGATCTGCCACTGGTCATACGAATGTTACAGGGCTCGATTCAGATGGGTATGAAGGTGACACAACATAACAAAATAAAAATCGGGCAAGGACAGTTGGAGATATTTGTATGTTCATTTATATTTTTATTTTTACATAAAAGAAATAAAAAGATTTGTTTGATTATTTTTCCACAAAGACATTATATTTTCTCAACAACTTTGTCTCTGACGTCATTTTGATCTGAAATGCCGTTTCCATGCAACAATTTCTTGAAAAATTACAATGACGTCATTTTGAAAATAATACAAAATCCAATGGCTGAATTTTAGAAAAAAATGTGAATCATTACCATTAACGAACAATTAAGCAAAGTTTCATACAAATCGGAAAAAGGCGATTCAAAAATTCATTTTTTGTTCGTTGTTTAGCCTGGAATTATGGGATTAGCTTATCCAACAATCAATACGAAACTAACGATTTTAAATTGGCTCACCACTTTAGTAGCCTATTGGTCCCAAGCAAACGATTAACGTACCCTATTCTAGTTGAAATTCTATTACTACACTATGTTTGTTTTGATTCGCTATGAAAGTTTGACAGATAACATCAGGGGTGTGTGGATTCATGCAGAACATGCAGGGGTGAGTGAAATAGCTTGGAACTGCTTGGGACCGTTGTTCTGGTACTGAGTGAGCCAAAAATAATAATGATTTTCTTCGGGACCCAGTGGTCTTAGAGTTACCTCTATGGCTTATCCATCTTCAATATGCAAGTTCACTAATTCAAGCTATTTATAGTCAGCACTGGTGCCTGCCACGTCCACACGGTCTTTTGGGAAGTGGAAGGATGATTAGTATGATAACCGTTGATATAGAGACCATGTTTAGGAAAGATGCAGACGTAGCATTTGAGGGGAGGTTTGGTTTCAGAAGTTGCGACCGGCCATGTAAATGCGCCTTTTCCCCTATAACCAACAATCAATACGAAACTAACGATATTAAATTGGCTCACTACTTGACTAGCCTATTGGTCCCAAGCAAACGATTAACGTATCCCATTCTAGTCGAAATTCTAGTACTACGCACCTCTTAAAATCACGGTTTCACTTTTAGTGTTTCAATTAGTAGTTCGGTGAAATAAATAAAAAGTCTATAGGTCCAACATACGGACTTTTCAGCTATGAAAGTTAGACAGATAAAATGAGGGGTTATTGGTTTTTCCTATGTTTCGAGGGGTGAATCGATTAGCTTGGGACCGAAGAGTAGAGCACGTTATTTCGGGACCTTCTAGTCTTAGAGTTACCTCTATGCTATAGCCCTGTATGTTTTCGCGGTGCACTTGACCTAAATAACTTTTTCCACAGAAGCCGAATCAATTTGAAATATAAAAATACCATAAATACCATGTGTGGAATAATTGAACCATTCGAGTTAATGTTCGTTTTTGGTTTCCGTTTATTAGGATAGTTATCCCAAACTATTAGCAAATTTTATTTTCACCCGAGTTGGAACTAGTTGCAATCCAGCGCGAAACTGTACTTTTTGTCAGTGTGAACCTCAACCTGAAGTAGAAATACTCAGAGGGAGAGATAGGCGGAGAAAACAAAATACAATTCGGCAGCAGGGATTTGTTCCTAAATTATCTTGCAACCCTTGCTAGAAGCTAGCATTTCAAATGACTTGTATTTTTGAATCGATTTACATGCAAAATAATAATTGATTGTATCGCAATATTTTGCACGTTGCTTGGTGAAATTCATTAACCGACGAAGATCAATTAATCAATAGAGTTAGAATATTGTTTTTTATTAAGTTGAATTTGAGAAGCACACGAAACATAAAGGTGATTGAACAGAAACGATTGCAATTCTCTCACATTTATTCTAGTAAGAATAAGAAATCCTCAGAAAAATTCGAATGGGAATGTTCGTTTGGCTCAAATTTTGACAGTTCATTTGGCTCAAAACATTCTCTCCGCTCATCTCTCCTTCTAGTATTTCTAACCTGAAGTAAGTTTAAAAACAAACGATCAACCAAACGTTTGTCAGAAAACTGGCAGACCCAATCTTGATACCCAATCCAGGTTAGGTTAGGTTAGGTATATGTCTCAGGCTAGAACATTTCATTTTTGCATTTCCTTTGGTAGGTATTTTTTTCTGGATAAACAAGTATCGTAACCGGTGGTTAATTCATCAGTGAATTGATCGAAATCTAATCAGTGCGTTAAAAATGAATCAATGATTAATGATAAATGATTAATCAAGCATTTACCATTAATTTCAAGACATTTATCATCAATCTTTAACCGTCATCACAACGAGGTACTTGATTAAGATCAATAAATAACAAATAGTATCTAAGAAATTTATTCATTAATCATTTAACGCTCTGCTAAAAATAAGCGTGTATTTTTGTTTTCAAGATTTATTATTGCAACTTGCAACCTATTTTAATTATTAAAAATGTGATCTAATTTCACGAATGCTGATAAAAATAATTTTCATTAGCGTCTCAACTCAACAAGTAAAAGTAGGTAGAAATACATAAACCAACCATCGTAGGTGCGTTCAAAATAGTCCAAAAGTGTTGAATTTCGCTATCAGAGAGTCACAATCAGCGATTATATGATGGGTGAGTACTCACTCTGAGACTCTTCAATGCTGTTTGTTATGCAAATAAAGACTAAAACGCTAAACTTACATGCTCAGCGGATATTCCTCGTCGATCACATCGAACATTCGCTTCGCTCGGCAGCCGAGGAAGTTCTCTTCCGGACAATACAGCTCGTTATCGACAGTGAAAGCTTCCATTGCTTTCAGGGCAAACATTGTCACCTGATTAAGCCGGGATTTGTAGTCATCTGCAATATGAATAGTGAAATTCCGATTATCTTTAGGCCGGCAAAGGGAACTGACCTAACGGACGCATGCAAATTTTAAATTTATGGTCGTCTGGTAGGTACTTATGAATTCTACTCACACTGCAAGTCGTAGCTGCGGCGGTGTTCATCCTCATTGTCTCCTCCGCTGTGGTCACTGTCGCTTTCACTTGGCTTCAGCGTTGGAATGAAAAACAATAAGCACAACAAGGCAAGGAATTTGACAATTTTTTTGAATATCACAATCTTGAGCAGAATTTTGGCGAGCGTAAACCAGTTGAATTTCATTTTCAGCTTATTAAGAAGCCAGCTCTCGGGACTCATGTAGGGTTTTCCATGGTTCATCAGTGCTGGCGGCCCATAAACTGGTTGAGGTGGACCATAGACTGGCTTTGGGGGCCCGTACACTGATTTTTGAGGAGCTCCATAACTATTTGACGGAGCTCCGTAGGTGTTTGATGGAGCTAAGCTATATTCGTAGGACGATGATGGCACGTTGCTATAATCTTCACGTGGTATCCGCACCAATCCTGAAAGTAAAATTTTAATAAATAATCTTATGGTTTAACACTGATATTTACATAGCATTTGGGTCATTTCAGCTCAAGTGTATACACAATTTTCGAAACTTGTAGTCAATGTTACCTATTTCAAAAGTACTTGGTTCCATTTTGGCTACACCTTGGGTAATTGATTTTTTTAGAAATTATATCTTTGAATAGAGATTTCCAATCAAGTTATTTGTGTTACTGAAGATTTTCATCGTAGCAGCGATTTTAAACGATAATAACATGGCCAGTTGTGGATGGATTTACAATGTGGATGAACCATTGGAATAAGATTTGATGTAAGATTTGTTTGATATTAAAATTTTAATTGGTTATCAATATTATTCTATTTAAAATCTATCAAACGAATCCCTCACACAGATTTCAGTTACAAAACACTAACACTAACATAAATGCAGTCATTGATCAAATGTAAAATGTGCATAATATATCGAATGGAGCATTTATTGCATAAATTTTTGGAGAATTATCAGGACCCAATTTGAATTCTATTCAGTTTGGTGGAGCAAAAACGACATTATTTATTTACCCTAACGTGATAATCCCTCGAACGTTGTTTAAGGTTTGTTCCCGTACCGTAAAACAATAATACAGGAATCCCCGATTTGTGTGGAGGGTGGTGCCGTCTACCCACCGCCATTTCAACAGTCTTTCAACCAATTGAGCTGGCTTTTTGTGAGTGCCATGACCAGCTAATGTGTAAAAAACCACAATTTTACTACATTCCATATAGTTGCAGAGTAAAATCAAGACCTACTTTGATCAAATTTACGAAGCAATAAATTTTACGAATATTTCTGATCTTTCGGTGAACTATCTGATGGCCACTTAGAAGCATTTACTGGAAAATATATAAAAATCACCATTTAACTGCACTCTATATAGTATCAGAGCAAATCAAGGCCTACTTTGATCAAATTTACATCTTCTGGTACACATTCGGAGCCAATGACCAGCTAATAGGTCGTATGAATAAAAGCATTTACTTTACTTTTCCCGTAACAAAAGCACGGGAAAGTAAAGTCAACTCTTTTTATTCATAAGGCCCAATATATTAAAAAAAAACACCATTTTACTATATTAATTTGAGCAATCAATTTGATTTGCTCACGGATGATGAGAATGATCCATCATCCAAGAAAAAATCTAGTAAACTTCCCCGGCTTAATGCCAAGAAGGAAAAGATTCCCCCTATTGTGATAACCACTTCCGATTTCCATGTTCTTCGCATGGAACTTTTAAACTTCGTGAAACTTAAGTTTTCACTACAAATTGGACGTCAGGGTGAATGCCGTGTATTGGCTGAATCTTTGGACGGATTTAAATGTCTTCTCAAGTATCTTAGTGAGAAGCAGCACAAATTTTTTACTTACGACACCAAAACTGAACGTGTGTTCAAGGTTGTCATGAAAGGACTGCCCAGAATGGATTTTTTTTTACAGAAATCGTTAATTGACATGATATGCTTAAATCTAACTCCATGCTTGATGCTATTCAAACTGGACTAAAATGTGCGAATAAATAATGTCATGACTTTGAAATTCAGTACTGGATTTTAAATCATTGAATATTTTAAATTGGAACGCTCGATCTCTTAAAGATAATGAAGACGAGCTATTTAACTTTTTGAGAGTTCTTAACGTGCACATTGCCGTTATAACTGAAACGTTCCTTAAACCTGACCATAAGGTTAAGAAGGACTCAAATTATTTAATTTATAGAAATGATCGTCTTGATGGACCCTGTGGTGGCGTTGCCATCATTGTTCATAGACGAATCAAACATAAAATTCTTTCTTCATTTGAAACCAAAGTTTTTGAAACTTTGGGAGTTTCTGTTGAAACAAAATTTGGACAACTAACATTTATAGCTGCCTATTTGCCATTCCAATGCGTAGGCCAGCAAAAGAATTTTCTCAAGGGTGACCTTCAGAAGCTTACCCGTCATAGGTCTTAATTTTTCATTATTGGTGATTTTAATGCAAAACACCGATCATGGAATAATGCTCAAAGCAATTCAAATGGTAATATTCTGTTTTATGATTGTTCTGCAGATAACTACACTATTCAATATCCAAACAGCCCAACATGCTTTTCTTCAGCAAGAAATCCCTCCACTATTGATTTGGTCTTAACTGATTCATGTCAACTTTGTAGCCAATTGGTTACCTGATCACCTTCCAGTAACTTTTGAAATATCCCAAGAAATAATTTGTAATCCCAGCAGCTCTACTTTCAATTACCATAGAGCTGATTAGGAGCAATATCGAACATTTATGGAATATAACTTCGATCCAAACATTCCTTTGCAAACCAAAGATGAAATTAATTATGCTCTTGAATCTCTGACTACTTTTATAGTTGAAGTTAGAGCTGCCTCAGTACCAAAATGCGAGGTTAAATTCGATTCAATTATAATAGACGACGATCTTCAGCTCTTGATCCGTCTTAAAAATGTCCGTAGGAGACAATATCAAAGAACACGCGATCCTGCCATGAAAGTTATCTGGCGGGATTTGCAAAAACAAATTAAAAAAACGAGGCCTGAGGAACAAAACGTTTGAAAATAATGTTTCTATATTAGACCCGAGTTCCGAACCCTTTTGGAAACTCACAAAAATTTTGAAAAACCTCAAAAGCCTATTCCAGCGCTTAAAGAAGGTGGTAAAATTTTGATCACAAATTCGGAAATAGCTCAAAAACTTGCTAAGCAATTCGAGAGTTCCCATAATTTCAATTTGGGTCTTACTAGTCCTATTGAGAATCAGGTTGCTCGGGATTATCTGAATATTTTCTCTCGGAAAAATATTTTTGATGATTCCTGATTTGCACGAAGAAAGGTCTATAACTAAAAAGGTGATGATGAAATTTTCTATATCCTCATAAAAAAAACTCCCAGAAAGTACCTTGTCTTTCTTGGTAAAATTATTTAACAGAGGTTTCCATTTGACATACTTTCCTGATAAATGGAAAAATGCAAAAGTTGTTCCAATTTTGAAGCCGGATAAAAATCCAGCTGAAGCTTCTAGCTACCGTCCAGTAAGTTTGCTTTCTTCAATAAGTAAACTTTTTGAAAAGAAAATTTTAAATAGTTTGATGCTTCACATCAAAACGAAATCAATTTTTGCAGATGAGCAGTTTGGATGGGCATGCAACTACTCATCAACTCTCAAGAATTACCAATTTAATTCGTTCAAACAAATCTGAAGGCTACTCAACTGGAGTTGTTCTTCTAGACATAGAAAAATCATTCGACAGTGTTTGGTATGAAGTTTTGATTGCTAAATTTAAAAAGTTTAATTTTCCACTTTATATTATGAAATTAGTTCAAAATTATTTAACTGACAGAACTCTGCAGGTAAACTACCAAAATTCCAAATCCAATCGACTACCTGTTAGTGCAGGAGTTCCTCAGGGTAGCATTCTTGGGCCTATATTGTATAACATTTTCACTTCGGACCTCCCTGATTTGCCTCAGGGTTGCCACAAATCTTTGTTCGCTGATGACACAGGCATTTCCGCTAAAGGAAGAAGTCTTCGTGTTATTTGCAGCAGACTGCAGAAAAGTTTAGATATTTTCTCTTCCTATTTACAAAAATGGAAGATTTCTCCCAACGCTTCCAAAACTCAACTTATAATATTTCCACATAAGTCTAGAGCTTCGTTTTTGAAACCTAGAAGTAGTCAAACTATGAACGGAGTTCCAATTTCCTGGTCAAACCAAGTAAAATATCTTGGATTAGTACTTGACCAAAAATTAACTTTTAAAGATCACATTGAGGGCATCCAAGCTAAATGTAACAAATATATTAAATGTTTGTATCCTCTTATAAACAGGAAATCCAAACTTTGCCTGACGAATAAACTTCTAATATTTAAACGAGTTTTTAGACCGGCCATGCTTTACGCTGTGCCAATATGGTCTAGTTGTTGCACTACCAGGAAAAAAGCACTTCAAAGGATTCAGAACAAAGTTCTGAAGATGATTTTGAAGTTGCCTCCCTGGTACAGTACTACCGAGGTACATATAATTTCGAGTGTTGAGACTGTAAAACAAATGTCCAACAAAATAGTTATTAATTTCTAGCAAACATCGTTGCAATCCTCAATTCCAACGATTAATTCCCTTTATACTTGGATAAGATTTAGTTTTAGTTTTTATTTTTAAGATTTCAATTTTTATACTGGCATGCAGGTTTAAACAACTTATTTAAAATACTGAATTGCCAAGGCAGGAACAATGTAAAAACACTTAGATATATATCATAACAATTAAGGCTGGTAGGTTACTGTAGTAACTGAAGCACCTAGGTGAAAATGAAATGTAATTTATTTTGAATTTGGAACAAATAAAGAGTTAAAAAAACTATATTTAATATAGTTGCACAAATCAAGGCATAATTTGATCAAATTTACACAACAATCAATTTTACGGATGTTCAGGATCTTCCGAAAAACTATCCGGTGGCCATTCGGATCCAGTGACCAGATAATAAATCAGCAAACACCATTTTCCCGCATCGCATATAAATGCAGAGAATAATCAAGGCCTTCTTTGACCAAATTTACGTAGCATTAAATTTTACGAATGTTTCGGACCTTCCGGCAGGCCACCTCCTGACCATTTGGAGCCAATGTCCAGCTAATATATCAAAAATCACCATTTAACTACATTTCACATAGTTACAGACATAAAGCAAGCCATACTTTGATCAAATTTACACAAAAACATTTTTTACGGATATTCGGGATCTTCCGGCGGACTATCTGGTGACCACTCGGATCCAATGACCAGATAATATATCAGCAAACACCATTATGTCACATCGCATATAAATGGCTGCTTTGCTCGAATTTACGGAGCACTCAATTTTACGGATGATCCGGATCATCCGGCGGGCCATCTAGTGACCATTTAGATTCAATGAACAGATAATATATCAAAATTCACCATTGTTACGATGCAATAAATTTTACGGATGTTTCATATCTTCCGGCGGACCATCTCGTGACCATTTGGAGCCAATGTCCAGCTAACATATCAAAAATCACAATTTAACTACATTTCATATAGTTGCAGACATAAATCATACTTCGATCAAAAATACATAATAATCAAGATTAAAGTTGATCCAGGTCACTGGATAGCCTTCCGGTGGACACTCAGTATTTAGGACTAGGTTTTGGGTTGCTATTGTTAAAATATTAATCAGCAATACGCATAGATGCCTGTTGCTGTAGATTTCCAGTATCACCTTATTCTAGACGACTGGTACCTTTTCTCCACCCGATGGCCACTCGGAAACCCGCAATTAAACCGGAACCACTCAAATTTTTAGTAAACCATAATTTCGAGAAAAAAATCTACTTACTGTAAAAGTTTCAGTTAATTTCATGGCGAAAAAAAAAAGTTATACCCATGCAAACAATACTATTCGTATGCCTGTTCGTAAAAATTCGTAACATTGGCGTGATAGGTATGGCTGTTAACCAATACCCAGGGGTCACCCCACATGGAGTATAAGGTTAGCTTTTTCTATGGCCTTAAGGTTATTTAGTTCGCTTGACTTAAAGTGCACTTTGCGCAAATCGCCAGGAGGGAATTTCATTTTCATTTTAATTACATGGACTTACTCAATTCCAGGTAAATTTGCCAATTCATTTTTGATCTGATCCAGGGATTCATCACTGGTCAATTTGAAATGGAAACTTGAATTCACTAACGAAGTTTAAAACGTTCCGTGCGAAGAGCATGTAAATCGGAAGTGGTTACCACAATAGGGTGGACCTTTTCCTTCTTGGCATTATGCCGGGAATGTTGATTGGAATTTTGCCTGAATGATAGATCATTCTCATCATCTGTGTGTATATCAAATTGATTGCTTAAATGAATTTCATCAGAAGGGGCCTTTTTGCGTTAAGGTGCCATGACGGCAGAAAAAAATTTCTCCAAATCGACTTTCAAGCAGATTACTATAAAAAGGATCGAAAATGAGTTTTTCAAATCGATATCCAAGCAGGACTTACTCGGATAGGTTCTTAACAAGGATCAAAGAGAAATAATAAAGTAGAAATTTATAGTGTCTCTCTAAATCGACTTTGAAGCAGTTTACTATAAGAATTTGAAGGATCTGAGAGGAATTTTCCAACTCGATATCAAAGCAGGATTACCCGTAGGTGAATGTTCCAAACAAGTATCAAAGAGGAATAAGAATCAAACAAGGTAGAAAATTTGGTAGCACTGCTGTTTAAATTTGTTGTAGCTGTAGGTAGCAGTAACACTCAGCCAAAAGCAAATCCGCACGGCAAGAGAGCACGTTATCCAAACGGGCTGTCAAATCGTATAAAAATGCTCTTTTGGATTCAAAATATGGTACATATCCGTTCATCTATTACAAGAGTGTCTATGCTCAAAAATTTACTAGGAAAAATTGCAAATACTGTTATCCGCAACTCTATTTTTTAAAATAGTTCTTCGGTATCGGTATCTTCGGTATAAATTCACAACAAAAAATAATTAAGAATTGAACTAACATTCCGATGACGAGCATTTTAAAAATATGCTGGCCAATGGGGTAAAATGAATACAGCGCGACAATTAATTAAAAACTAGTTTCCTTGACGTTCAATTGTGCAACTAAGAAAACTTCACATAAGTACAGATAGTAAACTTTTCCGTACATCATTGTGACGAAGGGCTACGACGAGGAGAATAAAAAGCTCACTTTTTTTCGTATAAACTTCAAAGTGCTACTTAAGCGGCGCCGGTGGTGTAGTGGTAACCGTGATTATCTCTCACCCCAGCAGGCCTGGGTTCAATCCCAGTCGGCACCGCCGGTTTTTTTCTGAGGCATAACATCTCTGATCAGGCCTTCCTTCTGAACGTAAGTAAAGCCGTTGGTCCTCGGTTCATGAGTTGATGGGTCGATATGTAGGGTCCAGGTATGGGAGCTGCCTCCCTGGCGCCGGGTAGCATTTGTGCTCAGCACGGAAAATAAGATCGACGGAAAACAAATCAAGGAAAAAAAAGTGCCAGTTCAGTATGACACTGCGATGGAGACGCATGATGTTACAATTCCCTTCCGCTGTTTCCCTCACGACTCGTGATATGAATCCTTTTTTTCTCCGTTTAGACTTAATTAACCGTATGCACTTAAGAATTTGACATCATTGACACTAACCGTTTCCTTTATTTTGTTGATTGATCTGCTGGGAGTTCTGCAACGCCACAAGGTATGAATCCTTGCCATTTTTCGCTTCTTCACCAGTGGCAAGACAAGCAAAGGCGCAGATCACCGCCAACGACAACGTTCTTTGGATTTTGCACATTATCACGCTATTAATTTTCACTATTGATCATCGACAGAAAAGAGATGCACTAATCCAAGGAATTTCCGGATCGACCGAAACGATTGGAAACATTCGAGCTACTGAGCAGCCATCAATCTCATGTTGCTAATTTGAAAGCTTCTTTCTTTTCTCTCTCTACCAAGCAGCCAGACAAATTAAAAAAAAATATCACAAAAACCACGCATTCCAGCACTAAATATTTCAATTCAATTTTCATTTCGTATTGTTTTGTCTGAGGTTCACTACTGGGTTGCTGTACCACCCCCACCAAGCATTAAAGCAAAGTTGCATTACACGTGGTGGGATTCGCAAACGGGGGAGCATGCTGGTGATTTACTGAGCAGGACTATCTGAGTAGCATTAACAGTGATGGCCGAGAAGAGAGAAACGGTGCCGATCTGAAACAAAATTGTCATTCAACACTTATGTGCCGAACATTTTCAGACCTTAAATATTCTACATATTTTTTGTCAGCCGGCTATTTTAAAAAATGCTAACATTTCGTCTACTGATGTCGATTAATCAACTTTCAAACGGGGGCTGTTTATAAACTACGTCGACCATTTTTGAGATGTTTTACTCCTGTCCCTCCGGGGTACATAATCATCCATACAATATTATATAAATTTGGATGGGTCGTATAAACATCCCCCAGCAATCGACTCTAGTTTTTCATATGGGTCGATGTCACCGATATACACCAAACTTTGCCGAAACGCTCATTTCTATATATCATCTTATAGCATCCTTGAAATTTGAGTTGTCATGTTGTAACTTCAGTAGGAAGCCAGATTATTGGAAGCTATCCAAATGTACAAAATATGCCATTTTTTCAAACCGTGCGAGATTGATTTTCGAAATTTCGAGCTGAAATTGTTTGCACTTGTCGATAACCACAGCGGGTGGAGATAAATATGTCTGAGGATCTTCACTGGTTTAACCCAAAGGGCCAAAGGTATATAGATGCTTGTGTTGGCGATGGTGTTTTTCATTGATTGTTGTCCCTTGCCTTGTATATTGTTTATTTCAGGTGATCTGCGTTGGAAACGTTCGTGGATGGATTTCTGTTGCAATTGATGTTGTTTGCTGGATCTGGTTGATTGAGCTGATTCGATTTGTTGACATCAGAAGCAGCAATTGGCAGAATGGCGATTTTCGAAACCGGTCGAGTGTACAGTCCTGTTGGTGTTTTTAATGTGACGACGCAAGTAATGCCGTCCTTCTCTGGATGCAAATCGACGATCCGAGCAGTAGGCCTCCTTCAGCAGCACAAGCTGGCCCGTTTGGATGTCTACTGGAGGATTTATCCATTTGGAGCGACTTTGAAGAGTGCAGAGATACTCGACATGACATCGCTGCCAAAAAAATTGAGCAGTTTCTGGAGCTGTTGGAAGTGTCTCGGGCGATTGAATGGAATGCTGGTGACATCAGTATCTGGAACGGCCTTTAGAGACAATCAAGTGAGGAGATGCCCTGGACTGAGGGACTCGAAGTCGGTGGGATCATCGCTGAGAGGTACTAGCGGTCTCGAGTTAAGGCAACACTCGATCTGTGCTAGCAGTGTTTGCATGTCTTCCATACCCAATTTCATTGTTCCCGCGGCTCGAACAAAGTGTTTTGGGCGGACTGAATAGCTGCTTCCCACAAACCTCCGAAGTGCGAGGCTTTGAGAGGATTAAAACGCGCATCCCGTTGTTGGTGCATTCTTCGGCGATTGATCGGTGATGCTCATTACTTCGGACAAGTTGCTGTAGTTCGTTGTTAGCACCTACAAAAATTTTCCCATTGTCGGCACACAGCCCACGACGTGCGACGAAGCATCTAAGGGCCTGGATGAATTTGGTGGTGCTTAGGACTCCCACAAGCTCTAGAAGGACAGCTTTTGTAGAGAAACATACAAATACTGCGACGTATACCTTGCCTGGTGCTGCTCGACGATGGAGTAGTTTAAGCGAAATTGGGCCCCAATAATCGATTCCGGATATGGTGAATGGCCGAGTAGCGGTCATTGGTTACACAGGAGAACATTGAGCAGCAGTTGCGGTGCGGAGTGTAAGTTGATTTCGTGGAGATGGCGAAAGAGCAAAGTCGATAGGGAATGAGAGGACGGTAGTAAAATATGGTGCTTGTAAGGTTGTTGCGTGTTTCAACCTGCCTCCGATGCGGATCAGCTGATCGGTGGATAGAAAGGAGTAGGTAAACCCAACGGATGCGAGATTTTGCTGATACAGGCTGGGACTGCTAAAGATTTTTCCATTCGGCGGCGAAAGTTTGTTCAGGGATGCCATTCTCCCCAGTGTAAGCAGGGTGATGAGTTGAAAAGACACCTCGCACTACGACAAAAGCAAACTCACCCGAGAGATTTTTATTTTGTTTTCACTATCTACCGCCGCCAGCCCAGTGGCAGGCGCGTAGGCAACATGTTATACCGTGACAGCGGGCCCAGCACATAGGGAACACCGTAGAAAGTTCGTTTGCTTCACCGGGGAGAATCACCCCGGTGCGGTGTTAGTTTGTTGCATACAAAGATTTTTTAAAGGTTACTTTTTCTATTAACGTACAGTATGTAGTCAATTATTTGAAAATTTGGTAAAATTATAATGTACAAATTTTGGAAATGCGAATACGGGAAGTGCATCAGCGCATCATTATTGAAGTTTGCTTCAGTTTAGTCGACAGACAGACATGGGACAGAGATTGATTAGGATCACAGCAGGAGTTCCACAAAGCTCCATCCTTGGTCCAACGCTCTGGAACGGGATGTACAACGGCGTGCTAACGCTGAAGCTGCCCAAAGGAGTTGAGATCGTTGGATTTGCGGACGACGTCGTCTTGACGGTAACAGGCGAAACGCTGGAAGAGGTGGAATGTTGGCGACCGAGGCGATCAATTGGTAACTGGATGCAAGAAGCGAAGCTGCAGATAGCACCGTCAGAGGCACGCCATAACCTCAAAGCGTGTTTAAATACCTGAGAGTGATGGTCGATGATCGGCAGAACTTCAACAGCCACGTCGAATATGCCTGTGAGAAGGCTGTATACATTGATGTTGATGTTTTCACTCACTCACGTAAATCTTTGGAGAAACAATAACACCTTTGCGCTGCCACCTTTCTCACGGAAGTGAGTGTATGAACAGACAAACAGTGAACAGTCAACTCTCTCACTCTCTCGTGCTGTGGCTAACAATCTCTCCAGTGGTGCCAGGATAAATCTCCGAGTAGACTAGTAGAGATTCACCCCAGAGAATGATATCTCTCACACCCGGGTGATTCTTCCGAGAGAATTTTCAACCCTGAGTTTGTTGTTGCACCAGGCGAATTAGTTGTACTTCTGCTTGCTGCATTTCTTCGGCGGTGATGGTAGTAGTAGTTGGTCTCGATTTTCGTTGGCAGTGCAGAAGAAATCGACGGCAGTAAACAGTTTCTCGTAGCAACTTGTTGTATAGGAGAATTTAGTGACAAACAGTTCGACAAATGATGGATTGCCGGCGGCTGGAACAGCTGTTGCGCATAACTTTCGTGTGTCTGGGATGCTGTTATGGTCTGCTGTGTTGATTGGTTGCTGGATTGACGAACATTCTTTGTCGAGTGCCAACCATTGTGGACTCTTCCACCAAAGTGCGTCGTGTAGGCGATCTTCTGCTGGTAATCGTCGAGAGATGTGGTCGGCTGGATTCTGCTGCCCCGCTATGTGATTCCAACTACAATTTTATGTCGCAAGTTGAATCTTCGAGACGTGGTTTGCAACGAAGGTAGTCCATGTCGATGGTGTAGAATTGAGCCAACAGGTAACGATAGTTGAATCCTTCCCGAAGTACGTATCTGTTGCGGGTTTCAACGATCGGTTTCAAGCTCCGCAGAGCTCGAGACGAGGAATACTCTGTTGCTTTAACGGAGCAACTTTCGATTTTGCGGTCAATAGTGCAGTTTTGGTTTCGCCGGTGAAGTTGGAGGATCGGATATAGCAACAGGCTTCATATGCATTCTCCAACATATCAAAGAAAAAGCAGCTGAATAGAAGAAGGTTTTGTGCAGATAATAAAACGTTCGATGCGGAGTGCGTCCGGTAGCGGTAGTTGAGCCACCAGTTGGAAACTAACGACTTTAAATTGGCTCACTACTTGACTAACCTATTGGTCCCAAGCAAGTCGTTTTGATTCGCTATCAAAGTTTGACAGATAAAATGAGGGGTTCGTGAATTTTCCTATGTTTTGAGAGGTGCATCGATTAGCTTGGGACCAGAGATAGTACCTGAGCTGAGCCAAAAAGTTGAGCACGTTTTTTCGGGACCTTCTGGTCTTAGAGTTACCTATATAGTTGAGCCATGTAGTCGAGCCATCGTTCCTTAATAGGCGTTGGGAGTTCTTGATCCCAACCCCAAATCAGTCCATTGTTGGTCTTTAGAGTCTACAAAGCTTGCATAAACAGCTTCGCTGTTGTGATGACAGGTCCCATCAGGTCAAGTGGGTCAAAATGCCAGCTATTTGCGAAAGAGCAATGAGTTTGGTGAGTGAGGTGTCATCGGTCGTTGATGTATCGATCTTGTATCAGAGATGGTCGGTCGTTGGTGCCCAGTGCAATCCTAGACTTTTAATGCACTGGTCACGGTCTAGATCCACGGACGTCTCTAGGGCACGGTTGTCTTGCGGAACATCTTCTTCGTTCGAGAAGTGATTCCAGCTTTTTCTACTGTGTCCGCTCCGGAAAACAAATCGTCCACGTAGAAATTATTCCGAAGAATACTGGCAGCTTCTGGAAAATCGTCCTGCTCGTCGTCCGCCAGTTGCTGGAGCACGAGTGTGGCAAGAAACACAGAAGACAAAAGCAACATGGACAAAACCGACACTCCAGAACCACCTTGGACTAGTGGCAGCTGGCCAAATCGGACCAAAAAATGACTTTGCCCCTATGCTTGCAGATGAATGACAATACACGCTTTTCCAGGCATTTTTCGATGTAAACTTGGGATATCATCGTCGAAGATGT